AGCTTGGCACTGATTGGCCAAAGAGTAAAAACAATTCACAGCAGAAACCAATGAAACAACCACCTGTTCATAAACAATCTCCAAACACATTCCAAATGAGCAAAACACAGGAGAAACAAATCAGATAATTATTGTTTTCCTTTTTCTCTGAGGCTTCTCACCTTCCCAGAAGAAAAATCCTGGGCGAAGGAATTTTTTCCAGAATATGTGAATGCCACAGAGTTGTTTTTCAGTATCAATTGCATTGAGTCCAATACAGGATGTAAATGCTTGTCTGCTGCACGTTTGTGTATGAAAATGTTGGGGAGGCCAAAACTTTCAGGTGGCTGCAGCTAGTGTATGAGGAATGTGAAGGTTGGAGTTATTCTCTGTGTGGGATAAAGAGGAAGAGGATAGCAGAGGGGCAAAATTAAATTCCCTGTAACCAGAAATTTACCTTAAAAGGAAGAGATATCTGGGAACCCTCTGCCTCCTTGCTTTTAAATGACCTCTTCAGGCTCTCCAAGGTGGAAATACTGCATGCCAATACAGTACAAGTGAGGGAAACAAATTTTAGGGAAGTCTAGAACATATGATGTGAGAAAAAGCAGATGTGAACTGTCTTATTCAAACCTCCAGAAGAAAAGGTGAGCAGCAGATCATATCGCTGTTGTAAACATCATAATGGAAGGGCCGAAAGAAAACAGAAGAATATTCTTCCTTAAGTTGAGGTAGGAGATGAAGCAACAACCACAATTTGCAATACAAGATATCCCTGTGTGCCACTGGGAAATAAAATTACACAAGAGTTGTCAAGTATGGGAAGAGGTAGCCCAGGGAAGTGGCATCTCCATTTCCAGCTAAACCTGGACTGGAAAGGACCATGATAAACCTGAGCAAATATAAGGTACTCTTAGCAAGAGATCAGACCAGATGACTTTGAAAAGTCCCTTCCAAATGAAGTAGTTCTGAGAATCTATAGCCTTACCCAGTTGGTCAGTGAAATATTAGGATAAAGTGGGTACATTACCGTTTGTGTTGGTGAAGTTTAGGGGAAAGAGAATGTTTGGAGATAACATTTAATTTATATAGGTTTCTTAAAATTTATTTGTCAGTGCTGTGGTTTTGAGAGAATCTACAACATGTCTCGTTACTCCTTGTTTTGCTTGAGGATATGTGGCATTAGCACTATACATAAGCACATCTGTTTGAGTTTGATAGCTCAAAGTTGAGCCTCTGTGCTCAAGTATTGTTAAAAGACTGAACTGAATGTCACTGGTGCACCCACTGAGCACAGCCAGATGCAGGCTTCAAAAGATAGTGTTAAATGGTTTGCCATAGGAAGACCTGGGAGATAGAGTACACATTAGGATATTTTATGTATTCTGTTCTAATTATGTTCCCATACTCAGAAAGGTTACAGAAAGAGAAAAAACATTACATTCTCTTAAAAGATTAAGTAGAACATGGGAGAATGGGCAACTACACACTGCTTTCTACAAACACACAATGTCCTGTGATGTGTAACATTTCTGAAAATAGAGGAATGCTGAGATGTTCAGATTGGCATTTCAGTGCCTCTCTGAATTCAGTGTCTGTCTGAAATATAGGGTTCAACAATCCTATTGTGTCTGACACACTCCTCCTTCTTTAGCAAAGTGCCTCCCATAGCTGCTCTACTAAGACAGAACAGTGAAAGCCTCATACTCTGTGTCTCATCCTATCATTCACCAAAGCTGTATCATCATCAGATGAAATCTATTGTTTTCTTTCCTGCTGTGTGCTATTGATTTTTCTAACCTTTCCTAATGTTAAGTTTGTTTGGCTTTTAAACTTTCTTACCAAAGGTTAATGTCATTAAGTTGAGCGGGTATCTATAAAACTACATATGTTATTGCCTATCTTGCATTGCTATACTGTCCTTTCATTAAACTCTGACTGCATTGGATAGCTCTGTCTTGAGGATTTTTGTCATTCCAGAATAATGCAGTGAAGGTTGAAAGGAACTGCATTACAATTGTCATCCAATTCTGTGGCATAAAATATTGGACTTGATATGTCAGGAGCAGCAGATTTATCTGAGGCTCTTATACCATCAGAGAACGTGAACTGCACAGACATTAATTTCAGCAAGACTGTAAAGAGGATGGAGAATCCAGTTCTGCTGCTTGTCCCCTCCCCCTGTTCAATCTGACCATGCCAGTCTCTTTGACATTGTGGCAAAAGGAGCAGTACTAAAATCTCTGCCAATTCTACAACTGGCTATCTGTTTGATGTGGAAAGAGAATGAGAAATCCCAGTTTAATTTGAAGAAAGTGGTGTCTTTAATGGTAGCACTCTATCAACATTATTTGATATGATGATCTACAGCAGTACTTGTGCAAAGCATTAAAGGTATGGGCAGTGAGTAAACAGCTCCAGGCACTTCCAAGCACCAGCTCTTACTGTACTCACAGGTACTGCCTTTAATGAATAGTGCATCTGACATCCCACTCACATATTTACACTGCATTCCAGTGCTTGTTTGAGGCCTTTTATTGTGAATTTGCACAGAAGACAGTAGCAGGGCTGAACATACATTGTCTGTGCATGGTGCAGCAGTTTTCTCCCGGAGCAGAATGACCTTCAGTGCCCTCCAATCACTATGCTGCTGTTATCTTGCCTTGGTAGTACCTTGCAGTTCCTCTAGAATAATTTTTTGTCAAAGAACATGAGATGCTAGGCAAGAATTAAACTTAAGAGAAATGTTTCTAGTAGTAGCATAAAATATTAAACCATCATAAGGTGTTGTAGGCCATCATTAAAAAAAAGAAAAAACAAAAAACAAACACAAAAAACCAAAACAAAGAAAACAAAAAACACCAAAAAAACAAACAAGCAAACAAAAAAAAAAGCCCTCAGACACCTTGATACTCCTTATGTGGAAAGTAGAATTGCAGCCTACCTTCTGCTGACGAACCTGCCTGTTCAAGATCAGGCTTGTAAATTTGTTAATGACTGCAGGAAGGAGTATTTTTCTGAGGGAGAGTGGGGATTAAATTTTTCATTCATAAATTGGTATCTGTAAACCACTTACTTCTGCCAATGCTGTGAAGCCAAGGAATGGCCCTGGCAAAAGATAAAAGGCTTGACTTCTCTACTGCTAATTTAAGAGCTGGCAACTGAGGTTGTGTCTTCTCTCATACTCAGCAGTAGCTGTCCCTGCCACTGATTTAGTCTTCATCTGTCATGTTCTCAAGCTGCTCAGAGGCTGTCTGAGAAATACTGAGGTTCTGTCTGTTCATGGTTTCTCACAGCTTGGTCTCTCTTCCCACTATCAGAGCTGATATCAAGACTGTCTAAGAGCACCCTGTTCTTAGTGAATGGAACACCTTTTCATTTAGAGTGGCTTTGATAAACAAGTTCCCTTCAGTGGTTTTCAGATCTGACTGAGCTTTCCTGAGTGGGACTGAACAGCCCTCTACCTTTCCTGGGCTCGCTGGGTGTCTCTGGCTGGTGTTGCCAAACTCACCTGTTCATTACAGGCTCCAGATGGCCTGTGTCACATCTCCCCCTGCCAATTTTACATTTTTTGTGTTTTCTAGAGAAAAGTGAAGCTATGGCAGCTCTTGAAAGAGTTTTGTGCTTAGCACTGAGTGCAGAATCCACGTACCTTTTCCCTCACCACTTTGCAGGGGAAGCAGCATCACTTCTGCAATGGAGGTCTCTGATTACATGTGCTGTTGCAGCTACATGATGCTTCATCTTGGCAAGCCTGTTATTACTACTTGAAAAAATATTTACAGCAATATCAGGTCTCAGAAAGGCTGCTACTTTTGACCAGTTTTCTTTCAGAAGTTTTTGAGAAGTGTAATAGAAAACCTATTATTATCTTCTCACTTTTCTTTTCTACTTTATCCAATTTCCCTACTGCCTGATGACTTTATTTGGTTTTATATGCGTTCTGGCTGTGTGGGAAAGCATTTCAGTGGTCGTGTGTGTCTTCCTATTGGAGGCTTGTTACTATGCTGCATGCAATTCACTAAATTCGGTGCCTTCACTAATCTTGCAAATTTTGTCTTCTCTACCTTTATTTTTATCACCAAGGCAAAGGCAACTTTAACATTTTTATGTTGGCTTTGTTGTTTGAGGTTTTTTCTGATGTAACAGAGTAATGTACTTTATACACAGAGGCACACACGCAAAGATTCTGTATTCTGAATGCTTTTCTCTTATCAGTTGTTATTGTGTATAGCAGAAACATAAAATCTGTCAAGTAAGACAAAGCTAGGAGGCTTTTAAGGGAACCTTGAAGTAGTAGGAGAGGAAACTTCTAAATCCAATGTGTATTATTCTAATTTTAATTCACCGTGCTGTATTAGATATTTTTTATTCTTTAAACTTCTTTGAATAGTGACTTTATGAGGTAGATACACTTCACTTTTCCTGACTCAGCTTTTTATCAGAGGCTTAGAAATTGCCTTAGCTTTCAGTTAAGAAATCTGAACTCCTGCTCTTCTCTAACATGTTCTCAGCCATAGTACCCCAGAGCAAGGAAATTGATGTCGAACCACTGCAAATTGACTGCAGTACAACTGCACTGCTTCTGGGGTGCCTGAACACTTTTGTGTGCCCACATTTATACAGGTTTGAATGTATGTAGCAGAGACACAATAGATGCAGCAACAGAGAGGACAGTCATTTTCCTGAAAATTACCAATCGCCCAGGGCTCATTACACCAGAATTTGCCCATCCAGCAGACCACTGTAAAACATGCTTATCCAAACTCACAGATCTACTCAAATGATTTGAGTATATACTCCTGAACCTATGAAACTTCTGGTTCATAGTAACTAGTTCAACTGGGACCTACAGTTATTGGGCCCTGTAAGGGTCTTTTGCTTAGTCCTGAATCTCCATGCAGAGCATCTGAGTGGTTGTCTGCAGTTAATTTCACCAAAGATGTCATTAGTTCTTACATTTGAAAAATTACTGACTCTTTTTTTCTCTCTCTCTCTCTGTTTTGTTGCTTCTTCACTAGGGATGTGAGTTAATTGAGACCATGGATCAGGACCTCACAGATTTCACCAAGTGCCTTCAAATACTCCAGAAAAAGATAGAGAAGAAGGGCCTCCAGGTAAGGACAACACTTTTTTTTTTCTGTGTTTCTTAGTAATTACTCTTTTTCTCATTGTATTTAGGTTAATCTTTCAAGTTTGCACTGAAATGAAACTATTTTCCGTAGCCTTGGCATTCTGCAGCTTTGCCATAATTTACTGCACATTTGTAAGCATTGATGCTTCTGCTAAAAGGAATTACAAAGTATGTCAATGAACAAGTGTTAGCTTTCTTAAAAGGCAGCTTGCATTGATTTCTGTTAATGAACTACCCAAAGTGCACAAGGCTGTTGTGGCTGGTGTTCAAAGCAAGAGTTCCACTTTGGCATGTAAATATATTTTCAAACACTAAGTCTTGATGTCAGGTTCATTCCCCTTTCTCTCACCTTTCAATGGTGAAATGGAGAGGGGAAATCTTGTCATACCAACATTACAGATGGTAAGCAATACCTCCTTCTGCAAAATGTTCCCTTAGAATCAAAGGCAGACTTTGCAGAGCAACCAGTGCACTAAACTTAAAAGAAGCCATATGGAGTTGTCCATCTCTTTTCATGGGAAAGGGAAGGAGGTCAACATTCCCTCTCCCCTTCCACAGTTTAATTTCAGAGGCCCCCTTGTTTTGTCTCTGAGATGCACAGGCAACATTTCTTGGGAATGTCAAGTGTGATGAGTTGGCAGCAGATGAGCTCTTGGGATTGCTGCCCTTTCCTCCCCATGGAACAGTCTTTCATGAGAGCTGACCTCTCTCTTCTGCTCTTCATGTATGAGTGAAGAGAGGGAGCAGCTGCTGCATCTTTCACCCACAGTGAGGACAAGAGGTGTGTAAGAAAATTAAAACAGTAGCCCAACATAGAAAGAGATGTCTAAACCTCTTTTCCTATTTTCATTGTAGCAGGATAACAAAGTTGCCTGGTTTCCTGAGATCACCATTCTCCAACAAAGCAGCAGGGGTTGAAATGCCAATACCCTTCTCTTCTTCTTCCCTCCTCACTCCAGGCTGATAAAAAATTCACCAGTTTTTGCCTAAGCTGCTTTAAAACTTCTTGTATTTCTAAAGATAATAAATGACGATAGGGCACTTTGGAGTGCTGTCACACAATGCCCATCTGCAATTTCATCTCAATACAATGCTGTTGTTCATTAGGGTTTTTTTTTCCCCATCAGTATAGACAGAGATGGGATACACTTTCACCATACACTTGTCTTACTGTCTGGCTGTGAGCCAGGAAACTCTTTATAAAACAGTTTATTTTCTTTCCCCCTATAATTTATCATCACAAGAACTCAGAGGCGTGTCTTTGCGTCTAGGACAGGAATTGTAATGAGTGCCATTGGAACAGATGAGCCACCTATGCCTAGGATTTGTTTTGAATTTGGCAAATAAGGTGCTTTTCTCTTATTAGAAATGCCCTTTCAATGAAGAAGAACTTCTTGGATTCAGTTCATTATCCAATCCCAGCTATTGCTAGACAGCGATTTTTTTGAAGCTATTACAAGGTATTTTATGATGAATAATCAATGTGTGGTTAAAATAAGAGCAATGGGAATATGACAGCTACAGCAGGTGTGTTTAAACAATAAGTAGTCTATTTGTAAAAGTTTGAGTTGTGTGATTACTCTCACAGTAAAGCTGTGTTTTGTTGGCTAAAGGATACCACATTGTGATCTTTGAGGATATTTTGTAAAGTACATGCCTGAGTGTAATTGCAGTAATTGTGTAGTGTTCGTGCTAATGTACTAAACCTAAGATTTCAGTTCAGTTATAATTGTATGCTGTTACATGTAAGAGATGTGCTTTAAATACAGTCTGAATTTTTCAGAGGTGAAAGAAGTAACACAGATAAATTTTCTAAAACTAAGCACCATGTTCATTAAATGCTAGCTACTTCTTGTTTGCTGTGCCTATTCCATAAAACATAGTAAGATGCTATCTTATTCATGCACTCTAGATAAAGCATAATGCATTTTTACTTCTGTTCTTCTGCATTCTCTGACTAAGGAATTTGAAGTCATTGACTCCACTTAGGGAGATAAAATGTGAAACTTAAGCAAATGTAAGAGACTAAACTGTATCATAATTCTATAAATTATTAGTTCAGTTTCTAATTTGCCCTTTTTTCAGAAGCACTGGTTGTTATTCTTTAGTAGGAGGTTTGGTGGTTCTTCAGAACATTCTGATGATGCAGAGAGTAACTTGATGTCTGGTCCCTGAATGACACAGAGATTCTGAGCACTTGCCAAATACACTGGCCTCAGTTTATGCATGCAACCTCTTGGCTCTTCTGAAACTCTAGCCTCTTTAAATAACTAAAATTGCACTTAATGTAGGTTTCTTCATGGGCAACATTCTGCCATAAAAAATGTCAGGTATGGCAACAGACTGTTCCAGACATAGACCTAAAATCTTTGAGGAGAATGCAAGTATTTTTAGGGAAGACAGCTGCTGTTGAATTCTGGGGTCACCTGAGAGGTGCATACAGTTGAGAAGAAAAGGAAGTCCAGAGTCTGAAAATTAGAAGTGGATACAGAAGGGGTTCTTCATCTGCATTTGTGTTTTTTGACCTCAAGGACAAACTTGTGTGTCACAAAGAGGAGTTATCTTCCTTCTGCAAAATGTCATAAAAGCTTTTTCTTTTGCAGAGAGTATTAACTAAGTGGAATATGTCTTCCTGGTGCCAGAAAAAATATGTTTGTCTCCAGTTTTGTTTTTTTTCCCCACTCTATTTAAAGCACTTGTCAAAGAGGAATAAGACAAAGAGACACTACAAATTTGTTTTCCTGTGATTTATAGTTGAAGTTACGAAACAAGGAAGGTATCTCTTTAGTATCTTTAAAAAATTGATGCCACAGTCCTGCTGTGTTTGCTGCTATTTCTGGGTAGCAATATGTTAAGCTGGGAAGTTAATTGCATTCAACGCATACCATGGATCCACAATCCCACAAGGTAGTTTGTCTGGATGAAATTCAAGTGTAAGTAGCTGAGGTGTTTAAAACAGGCCTCCCTCCATTGGTCAGAGAATAAATTAGCATTTACCTGCTATACTGAATGGATTAAAATTTCTGCTCTGATTTATCAGTCACCTCTATGGAAGTTCTATGTCATGGAGGCTTTTGAGCTCACTTGAACATATGCAGATGATATTTGGTTCCAAAGGGATTAGGTTTGTGTAACTTACTTTCCATGTCTCTGTGCCTTTATTCTCCTCCTTTTCTTTCATCCTGTTCATCCAAATAGCTTTTGAAGAAGTAACTTCTGAATAGAGGAATAGCCTATTGAAAGACAACCGTGTCAAACAGCTTTCTTGGAGGTCAGCTGAGTGAGAATGCAGGTGAGATAGACACTTAATGCCCCTACTTGGAAAGAAAGATGCAAAAAAAGTTAGCTTGGATTTTTACTGGTAGCTAGTTTGATAAGAGCCTTAGAAAATTCTTTACCACAAGGAAATATGTAGCTAGAGTTGATGGTCAGCTGAGATGCAAATCAGGGAGAAAAAATACCTCGTTAGTTTTTGAACTCCCTGCTCAACATAAAGAGCAGGAATTCTATCTTCTGGAATAATTAGCCAAATTCATGACTGCTTTTTCCTTATTTTTCAAATAAACAATCTTAGAATAGTTTCTGAATCCTCAGGGTAATTAATTTCTGATTTACATTGCATATTTTGGTTGCAAAGCCAAGTCATGCAGAAAGCAGCATTGCAGTCATTTTGTGAGATCTAAGTCACCTAATTATATGTATTTATAATTACATACTGCAGTGCATTTTAGAAAAGGCAGCACCCTTTATATGTGCAAGCTAGAATCAGTCTCAATCTTCCCTCTCCACAGCCCTAATTCATTTGTGAATTGTATTCCATTGGATGGGTGAAGCAATGAAGTACCACCAGGAGAATCTGACTCCTGAAGTTTCTTTCCAGCCTAAAGGCTGTTAGATATTTTTCTTTCTCTTTCTGCATGACTGTGAGTATGCATGCACGCACATGCATGTGCAAGTATGTATATAAATGCACATCTTTTCTGGTAGTGTTCCTTCATGGCCCTAATTGGTGCTTTTTAAATGTCTTAATAACTCTGTCTTTATTGCTGCTGTGTGTGTCTTTCACATTGTTTATGGGCTATTAGGTGTGCACATTTTACTTTACTGCTTTAATCACTATTTTATTCATTCTGTAGTTATGTGAGTGCTTTCCTTTCTTCATTACAAGACCTTCAAATAAACTTATGTCTGTCTGGTGCTACTTTCTGTTCTTAATTTTCTCTCATCTTAATATAAGCTGTTTCAAGAAACCAACTGAACAGGCAAAATGATGGGCAAGCTTACAATATCTCTTATTTAGGGATCAACAGATCTTGCATGAGAAATGTGTGCTATTATCTTTGATTTGCAGATTGGAAAGCAGAAGTACAAAAGCAATTTGTTCACAGCCTACCAGCATGCTAGCAGCATGGTTGGGAAAGATCCTCCAATTCCCAATATTCATCAAATGCTCTTTCAATAACAGCATCTCTGGTCTCAGCTTGTAGCAGCTCATGCCAGTGAGAACTGAAAGTGTGTTTATCAATTTTGCAGCTCCAAGAAGAATACTCGTAATATAAAGATAGATTTAAGCCATTATCTTTATCTCAGAGTTACAAACTGTACTTTCCTTAACTGTTTCATCTAAAATACCATTTAGTCTTAAAACTAAGCTCTGGGACTTTTCATTTAGCTTTATTATCTTTTCTGCTTAAAAAAAAGTTAAAGCAGCTCATTTGGTTATATGGGCTGAAGATATAAAAAATGAGTTTTATTGAAACCCACATGCCTTTTAGTGGTTTAATGTTAGTGTGTTTAAATCGATAAAAGCACCAGTGTCAGTATGAAAAAGGGAAAATATCCAAACCAACTCTTCCTAAAACACCCTTGGCAATAAAGGGATACTCTACTAACATTTCCATTTTAAAATTACACTTCAGAGGTTCAATCAGTCAGCAGTCTAGGGTATTAATTCTTTTAAGTGAATGCAAGCCTTCTTCCCTT